CCATCACAGGACAACTTTTCCAAGTATGTGCTTTGCCTCCACTACAGCGATCCAACCAGGTCATTCGACTTGTCAGCGAGCTCTTTTACCTACTGAGCTATTTCACTAGCACTATACTTTTAGTTTTTATATATTTTTATTTTTAGCAGTTATGGAGATTGAACAGTAGGCCTCATGCGTACTAAGCTGACTTATAGCCCCAACCTTTTGATTTTGTTCCTTTATATCGTTAAATCTCTGTTTTAATTCTCAGATTATTAAACTTAATTTGAAATGGTAAATAATGAAATATTTAGAATTTCTGTTTGCAAGAAATATTTTCTATGTGTTTGACAGAGTTACATATACTGACATAATCTTACACCTTGTTGGTTTTATAGCTATGTTTAAGTTTAATTTTTTTATTTTATTTTATGTGCATTGGTGTTTTGCATGCATTTATTTCTACGTGAAGGTATCAGAACCTCCTGGAACTGGAGTTACAGTTGTGAGCTGCCATGTGGGTGCTGGGAATTGAACCTGGGTCCTGTGGAAGAGCAACCAGTCTGTGTTTGTTTGTTTTTTTCTTTCTTTGTTTTGTGGTTTTTCAAGGAAGAGTTTGTCTGTAACTTGCAAGCCTGTCCTGGAACTTGCTCCATAGACCAGGCTGGCCTCGAACTCACAGAGATCCATCTGTGCTGTGATTAAAGGCATGCGCCAACACTGACTGGCCAAGTAGCCAGTGTTCTTAACTACTGAACCAGCCCCCAATATTTGAATTTAATAGGTAGAAAAGTGTTACAAGTAGCTATATTGTGTAAAATAATGGAGGAAGAAGCAAGACCATGGATTAATCATGGTAATTTTTTTAATTAATATATTTTAAATAATTTAGGCTTGCTCATATTTAGCTATGTGTTTTTGTAAAATACACCTAAAAATTACTTTGATTGGAGTAATGTTACATCACTGTTACAAGCCCCACCTCACTGCATCAAGCCTAGGTTCCAAAAAGCCAGCTCATGTGACAGGGATAAATCCTGGTCCCTCTTCCAGGGGTCCCTCAAACAGACTAAGCTACACAACTGTCAACACATGCAGAAGGCCTACTTTGGCCCCATGCAGGCTCCCCAGCTGTCAGTCCACAGTCCATGAACTCCCAGCTCAGGTCAGCCGTCTCTTTGTTTCCCTATCTTGATCTTGACCCCCCTCCTCCCAATTCATATTATTCCTCCTCCTCTTTATCTGGACTTCAGCAGCCGGGACCAGTGCTTAGCTGTGGATCTCTGAATCTGCTTCCATCTGTAAATGGATGAAGGTTCTGTTGACAGACCGCTGGGACTGCTAAAACCCACATATTATTGCTCCTTTATTTAAGTAGTTTTATGTCGTTTTGATTGAAATCCTTGTTTTTATGTGTTTAATGATAGCATATATTAGTTCATTTTTTTAGCTTATGTCTATTATTAAAATATTTATAACCTTGCTTATAGATGTGAAAACTTAGGATCTTAGACTACCACAGTGATTAAAAAGTCAAGTGTGTAGACTTAAGATCTTAGGAAACTTACTGCTCCTTATGTTTCTAGTACATTCTACTAACAGTGGGGAAATTATTTAAAATGATTAGGTATGATAATGATAGAAAAATCGCCTGCAATCAGTAGGTTACAGTTTTAGGTAAGAAACACCTGACTTTCTATCGTGGCTGATAGAATCACATTCAACACAAAGAACATTTGAAATATCTTTCATCAGCAATTTATATCCTATACAGAAAACCAATTTAAGTGCACTGTTCTCTGTGAATTCTATTAAAGTGCTGCTCCATAGTTTCTTATTCAATAAGAGTTTATAAAACTGGAAAAATTGGTGAAAATTATATCGTCTCAATTTGACCCCAAAAGTTCTTATGGAAAAGATCTAGGGTCTGGAGTGATGCCTCAGTGCTTAAAAACAGGCCTTCCCTAACTCCAGTTCCACAGGATTTGATGATGCCTGTCCTCCACAGGTTCCAGGAACATGTGCACAGATACATACAGGCAAAATACTTGCATCAAATAAAGTAAATAAGTCTAAAAGTACAAAGAAAAAGAAGACCTAACCATTAAGAGGATAAATCTATTTCACGGGGCAGATTCTATGGAAGAAAAAGTTCTTTATCTTTTCCAAAATTTAATGGAAGAAGATTATGTAAGGACTTTATGAAATAGTTTAATTTGTTTAGAACCTGTATATTTATATAATGATAACTATGATATATGCTTTTAAAATACGAATGAATTTTAAGAGAATATAAAAGGCTGTTCTGGGCAAACAGCTTAAGTAACAAGGTAGTCCAAGAGTTCCTTAGGGAACTAGAACAGAGGTAGTCCAGATGATGAGAATTTTGTGAGTTCTAAAAATATAGTTTAGCTTGTGCCTAGCTTGTAGGAACATTACAGAATTTGAATTCCAAGAGCAATGGGAAACCTCTCACAGATTAAACCAAAGGAATGCTGTGATTACATAAGTACTTTTACAAGACTATTATGCATGTTCCACATAGAACAGGTTAGACCATCACAAGAAAAATGTTGAAATTCCTGATTGCTGGGACACAGGAGCATTGCAGTAGAACCAAAGAGGGTAGATAAGATTTGCAGCAATAGTTAACTCAATAGGAGAATTACCTTGAGGATTGTGTGGGATGTGATGATGTGTACCTTTAGTCTGAGAATTCAGGAGGCCAAGGTAAGAGACTTAAATTTGAAGGAAGACAGGATTACATAACAAGACTATGTTTAAAAACAAAACCACAAGAAAAAATTGGGGGCCTAATGATTCTGCAGTAGCACCTACCCAGAGGGCTGAGAGGTAGGAAAATCACAAAATCAGTAATTTTCTGGATCTCATCTTGAGTTCAAGGCCAGCGTGGACAAGTCATTAAGATCTTGTCTTTTAAAAAGAATGAAAGAAAGCTGTAGGAAAAAAATGGGACTGGAGAGATTGATTGCTCAGTAGGAAAAGCATTTGCCACACAGATATGATCATCAACATTTAGATCCCAGCGTTCTTATGAAAAGCTAAGCATAGGCCCTGTAGTAACAGTACCATGTAACCTTGTCTATCTTTGATCTTGCTCTGTAGACCATGCTGGTCTTGAACTCACAGAAATCCACCTGCCTCTACCTCCTGGGTGCTGGGTTAAAGGCGTGCACCACCATGTCTGGAATAAAATCTTTTAAAAATAAAAGCTGGACATGCCTATAGTCTCAGTGTTGAGAAATGGATACAGGATAATCTTAGGGGCTCAGTAGCCAGCCAGTCTAACAAGTCTGAGTTTCAGGTTCAGTAAAAGACCCCGTCTTAAAAAACGGAAATAGTACAGAAAGTCATCAAGAAAGACAACCCAGCTTAAACTCACTCTGCATGCTTATATGTATGTGCATGCCCACATGAACAAATATACATACTCTCATGCTTCTCTTTCATACACAGACACAAAGGATGTAATTAACATAAAATTCTTGTTCTGTCATACCACAGTAAATAGAAGGTGGTACCATTTATTAAGATGACAAATAGCAAAAAAGAATCAGGTCAGACTGCAAAATTGAATGTTACTAGAATTTGCATTAAAATGTACTCTTGATTTTGGATTTGGGTTTGAAATTGTTGAAGCATAATTTTCTCTTTTTGTACATATTGTAAATATATACAGTAACTTTTTATTGAATAAATGAATAAACTAAAAGGTATTCTGTTTATGGGGCTTGTTTTGCAGTGCATGGGGAGTGTCAAACACAGTATTTATGCACAGACTTTTAGGTGACTCAAGAATCAACTCCAGGAGCTGGAGAGATGGCTCAGTGGTTAAGAGCATTGCCTGCTCCTCCAAAGGTCCTGAGTTCAATTCCCAGCAACCACATGGTGGCTCACAACCATCTATAATGAGATCTGGCACCCTCTTCTGGCATACAAACATACATGGAAGGAATGTTGTATACATAATAAATAAATAAATCTTTAAAAAATATATATATATGAAAAAAAAGAATCAACTCCAGCTCTTGTGTTAAATTTTAGGAGTTTCTTCTCTGTAGTGTTTATTTTAGAGAACTTTTTGGGCCATACTATTCGTGAACTTAAAATCTTTAGAAAACAATCTGTAAAGCTATTTCTAACTTTGAGTTTCTCTGAGGTTTTTTGTTTTGTTTCCCACATTATCATGAAATCTGCAGTGAGTAGAGGAAAACCGTAGAGCCATATTTTCAAGGTATATGAACCAAGAGGAGTCGGGCAGTGGTGGCACATGCCTTTAATCCAAGTAGGCAGAGGCAGGCGGATCTCTGTAAATTTCAAATCTGCCTGCTTAGTCTACTGAGTGAGTTCCAGGACTTCCAGGGCTGTCTCAAACCCTGTCTCAAAACAAAACAAAAGAACCAAGAGGAATGACTCCATTGACTTTTAGAGCCTAAATGCCCTGCATAGGACCCTAGTCATCTAAAGGGGCACATGCAGAAACTCACTTGAGACTGATTCATTTTAGATAGTGGATGTATTTGCTTCATTTTGTGAGGAATTTTCTCAAGATCTTAGATATACATAGTAGCAGCTTACAGAACGAGAAGTAAGAGCATTGACTTGCCATAAGTATGTTTGTTACTATGAACAGAATCCCATGTTCTTTAGAGCATTGTTTCTGAGGAGCTAAAGATAACATAGTTGTCTCTTAGAGTGTACCCTGTCCTGTCTACATTTGTGTGTGTGTGTGTGTGTGTGTGAGAGAGAGAGAGAGAGAGAGAGAGAGAGAGAGAGAGAGAGAGAGAGAGAGCTACCTTAAAAAGTTACACCAAAAATTTTTTTTCATTCTCTTAACTCTTCTTTTTTAGGGAGCTTATAAATACACTAGCATCAAGCTTGTACTATCTCTGAGCGTGTTCTTTTTAGGGGGGAATTAGTAAATTTCATAACCTGTTGACAGTTATGATTACTTCCGTGCTAAGTTTACATGTAAGGGTCTCCATCCTTTCTTTCAGGGACAGAATGATGCTGCTGAAATTGGAACAAGAAATTTTAGATTTCATTGGTAATAATGAGTAAGTTCTGACATTTAACAAGAAAAGGAATTGTCATTGTAGTTCTCCTTGAGTTATTAAATTAGCTGTTCTCTTCCTTCAGGTCCCCACGTAAGAAGTTTCCCCCAATGACATCTTACCACAGGATGCTGTTACACAGAGTGGCTGCCTACTTTGGATTAGACCACAATGTTGATCAGAGTGGAAAGTCTGTCATAGTGAACAAAACTAGCAACACAAGAATGTAAGTGTTCAGTATGTTGTCTGTGAACTAATACTTGCCTTCCTACAGCACCTTCCATTTGTGGTAAATTCCATGATAACTTTGTGTGATGGAGCCAAAAAGTACATTTATCTCGCTGTGAACAAAATGCAAACCTGGATTCAGATGAGGAAGATGAGCCTTGTCTTAGGCACAGCTACAACAAACACCTCGGAGAACATATTATCAACCTTGTTTGACAGCTACTCTCTTAATGAATTTTTAAAGTTAATTTAGGTATCCATGGCCACCATTAGGCGATTTGTTTAAATAATTTTAAAAAAGAAAAAGCGTTTCAGATTTTGCCATCCTCACATCATCTACCACTTTGTTATCATTTCCAAAATCTTGTTTCGTTTTGTTGGTTTGTTTTGTTTTGTTTTCCTTTTTCTGTGTCAAATATGAAGAAACTGAAACTCCAGTCTTCCATACTGCTATGTTGTTTCTTGGGCCATATCTAATTTACTGAGGAAAGTTTTTATATGGTTAAAAGGAACCCTTTGCTTTAAAAGTAATTGCTTTTTGAAAGCCCTTTAAAAGGCTGGGCTTACAGCTCAACGGTACAACACATGACTATGCTCAAGGATCTGCACTCAATCCCTTGAATTATAAAAAAGTCCTCTAGTCTCATTCTCTGTAGCACTGGGATTATAGGTCTGTGCCAGCATACATGGTGCAATAGTATTCTCTTTATCATTTTCAATAATGGTAGAAAGAGACCTAAGACCTAAGTAGCAATCAATTTCAAGTGCCATGAATAATGTTCTTCACTTCATTATTTTTTCTGCTTTTCCTCAGGTCAAATAACTCCCAGAGTCTTATCTGTACCATTCATTTTTACATGGTTATATTTAATTCATCTAGTCCCTTCAGTTACCATAGTCTTTGCCAGAATAGGTGCCATATTGCTTGATGAAGCAAAATTGGGGCTCCTCAATTTCAGATAGTCTTTATCAACTAGATAGGTGTATTTCATATTTTAAATGACTATTCCTACAACAAAAAATAATAAATTGCCTTGGGCAGAAATTTTTTATTATTTTTTGGGGACTATTAGAAAATAGAAATCTGATTTAGTTTCATCATGTCTATTCATTAATCTTATTGAAACAGCTTTTATCAGTTAATCTTTTTCCAGTTAATTATATAATGACTAAAACAGGATAGTATTTAATAAGATGTAGGTGAATTGAAAGTGCTAGAAATTACTCTCTTTAACCAGTACCCTTCAACCTTACTTAGAGCTGCTGGATGCCCAAACACATGAACATTAGCAGGCATTTTGACTAACATTTTGACTGACAACTCTCTAAGGTTTTCAATACAGTGTAACTTCAGTTATTTGAATTCTATAAATGATGTCAGAAAAGTTTTTAGGGTTCTATTTGTAAAAGTAATCAAAAATTTAGTTAAGCAGAGATATTTACAAAGTATGGGTTAATGTAATTATAACTGTTTCAGATCATTGAAGTTACACTGTATTCTTACTTTATATCTTCTGGGATCTAAAGAAGGTTGTAAATCAGAAAACCTTAGAGATCTGCTCCACATTGAATAAAAACAAACTTACCTTTTCCTCATAGGGAGATTACCCGCTCCAGCCTTGAACCAGTGGTGTTGTGGATGTCAACAACCGGGTGTCCACTGGGGTGTCTCAATGGAGCGGGAAGTTGCCGATTGCAGGGCAGTAAATTCAGGCATCTTTAAAAGAAAGAGGTAAGACAGTCTTAAGGTTAGCTGAAATGCCTGCCATATTTTGTGTGGGAATCCAGCTGTTCTTAGAAAAGTTGCCAGGGCCTTGGTTAAACTGTAGAGTTCACTTTAGAATAAGAGTCTCTCACTCAAATACAGATGCCTCAAGTAAGAACATGTGACTTTATACAGCTACAGCTATAGGTAATAATAGTAAACACATCAGTTTTGTGACAAATGGCATACTGTCATGGTCAGTACATGACTTTTAAAACTCGGAAGGAAACGGACTCTCATCATTTTGGTAATGAAGCCTTGTACTCTCACCTTCTTTTTTACTTTGATATGGATTTTTTTTATCTGCTCTGTTTCATTCATCATTTTACAATACAATTTTTTCATCTTGTTTAGATAATTTTCATCTTTAAATCTCCCTTTGTGTAATGTAGAGGAGTCAACTACAGTGTTTTATTAAAAAATTGGTGAATTGGTGAATTGATCTGAGTGTGGTGGCACATGACTTTAAACGTAGGTCTTAGTGAGTAGAGTCAGAGGGATCTCTGCCTTTCTGGTCTGCCTGGTTTACATAGCACGTTCCAGACCCGTGAGACCCTATCATAAAAACAAAAATTAGTCGCTAAACTGAAACAAATGTTTATGCATGTGTTTTGGATTCTATTTATAATGAAATGTCTGGTCTTGGTTTGCTGAAACGTCATTGCTTGAGTTTATGATTAAAATTTATTGATTGCCAGGCATGGTGATGCACACCTTTAATCCCAGCACTTAGGAAGCAGAGACAGGTAGACTCTGGGAGTTAAGGTCAGCCTGGTCTACAAAGCAAGTTCTGGGCTAATCAGAGCTACACAGTGAGACACCGTCTCAAAGAAATGAAATTTTATTCATGGTGTTCTTGTATTGCTTATATTATATGTAAACATGTAGATATGTATTTGAACTATATAGAAAATATATATTGTATTGTTTATGTAACTGTATAGGGAATTTATTAGATTTTCTTTAAATATATTAAAATGTTTCGTGTTATATTTCAAAACAGTAATTACAATGTCAAATGGTAATAAGTTGTACAATATTAGTTGAGTTAACTTATTGGAGCTCAGAATATATTGTCAGAGGTCAATTTTAACATAAGTTGAATGTCTAAGGCCCATGATTATTTATATGTCTTCCAGGTTTATTGAAGCTTCTAACATTCCTAATCTGGAAAACTATTATGTTACAGAAGTTGTACTAAACTTCACAGTCATTGCTTTGGTTTCCAGTGTTAATCTCTACATAAGAGCTTACCTTTTCTAACCTGTTTAAGTTAGTGTAAATCAAAGTTATGCTCTGGTGTAATTTAGAATTTTGGGCAACTTGAAAACATTTTCAAGTAGTTTCTTAGGTTTTTAGTTAATTCAGTACAAAATCCTTGATTGCTTTCATTCTATGGCATGAAGACTGTAGGAGTATAATGCGTGTGATACAGTACTTAGCTTTTTCTTTGTCTGTGCATAGACAACAAAGACAGGATATCAGCCTGGGAGTGTGACCCCATGTGCTCCACCTGTGGCATTGTCATGTGCTTACCTGACTTTCCACAGGTGCTTTACCCTCTTGAAGCCCAGTTTCCTCGGGGTTTATTATAATGACAAATTCTTCTGGGTGCTCTTTCTTTACTGTTCATTTCAACTTAGAACAACCCTGTAAAGTAGATAAATGCATTATATAATTCTCGTCTTACATATGAGAAAATGGGAATAAAATATTAGATAATTATGCATATCTTAAAGCCAGTACTATGTTCAAAAGCTAGACTTGAACCCAAACAGTATGACCCCAGAACCTCTGCTGTTTTTGAAAAGCCTCCACACTATCCCGTAGAGGAGCGTTGGCTCAGAGGAGTCTTACGATGATGAACTGAGGTGATAGTGGTGTGTCTTAAGCAGCACTGATAAATAACAATATTACTTTTTTATTAACTTGCATATATTGCTTTACTTTTTTGTAAATACAGTGCATTAAATTTTTTGTTCCTTTGTCTTGTTTCTTTTTTTCAGACCTGATCAGAAATTTAATGAACACATTAAGGATGATAGGGGTGAAGACTTTCAGAAACGATACATCCTTAAGAGAGATAACTCTAGCTTTGACAAAGATGATAGCCAGGTAATCTTGAGAAAAATGCTACATTCTTTTTAAGTGCGAGCTTTAATTATATCAACAGTTTATTTTCCTAATAATCATTTTTGCCTCTTTAGATGAGAATACGTTTAAGAGATGACAGAAGAAGCAAATCTATAGAAGAAAGAGAAGAAGAATACCAGAGAGCTAGAGATCGAATATTTTCCCAAGATGTATGTGCTAACTTACCCTTAGGACTTTATCTAACAACATTCTAGGCCCCCCCCCAAGCTATTAATCACATTATTTTTAACCATATCATATCAGGTCGTGTTTTTGAAGTAAGCATATTGTTCCTCTTAATTTGATATAGTACAATAGAACAATACTATAAAGTTTCACCAATATTGAAAACAGGTGGACCACAGGACTCAATAGAGGATGGGAATGAGTTGCTATTTTTATAACTTTTTTAAAGCTTATAACAAATGAGGTTTTTACAACATTAGTAACTATAAATCTTACATTGTTTGTAGTGTCCTTAATCTTAATAAATAATTAAATATGGAAACCAAGGAACAGAAAGCTATGCAAAGTAGCCAGAATAAATATACCTAGAAAATGGCTGAGTAGGAATTTTAATCCAAATCTGCTGAACTCAACATCTATATTAGATTAATGATTTTCAGTATTTTATAAGCTCGATGGCATACTGCTGTTCACAGGTTGACAGGTAATACGGTGTGTGAATCACGGAGACACGTGAAAGTGTAAGAGTCACAGTAGACAGAGAAGTACTACAAAGTTGAACTGGGGAGGAGATACGAAAGTTAGCTTCTGAGAGCCCAAAGTTCAAGTAGAAAATCAGTATTTGCAGAGGCTCACAGGAAGAATCGAATGATTTAGAGCAGCCAGAACATAGCCTGGCAGGCAGCATAAATAAGGAAGTTTTAGACTGGAGAATATCAGGAACTCGGCCATAAACCTTTGCTATGGTAGCTGAACTTCAGGTGTGGGTTTTTGTTTTGTTTTTCTATAAATGTGATCGATATTTTAGGATCTTGAGCCACACATGTATATCTGCTCAAAACTGACTCTGATATGACAACCACCATAATACATAGTCATGGTTGTGTTCCATTAAATCTTTATTCATCGAAACAGGTGGTTGGCCACGTTCCTGATCCTTGTACTGAGGAGCCATGAAAGATGGAAGAATTACATTTTAGAGAGCTTGCTTTGGCTCCTGATCTATAAAGTGAATGAGTAGGGCAAGTTTAGAAGACTGTCGCAATATTGCAAACAGAAGTGACTCAGAGTGACAGCACTGGAGGAAGTTGACTATAGGTGCTTGAGACCTATCTGCTTATTCTCTGCTTTATCCATATTTGCTGTGTGTTAACTACTTCCACAAATAGAAATGGCCACTGTGTTACAGAGAATTAATTAGCCTTTGCTTTTTACATTTATTATTTGTATGTGTATACACGTGCATGAGAAAAAAGGTCAGAAGACAGCCAAGTCATAATTAAGGTCATAAGTTAGTTCTTTTACCATGTGGCTTGGACATCAGGTGTCTTTACTTTTGGAACCATTTTCCCAGGCCCTCTGTTAGCTTTTGATTACTGCTAATCAAATATTTGTGAATAAGAGAGAATCTGTAGACTTTAAATATATGATAAGTGAAACTTGAATTAACCCCATTAAGAAGACTTATTTAAATTTCAAATCCATTTTGATAATAAATGACTTCTAAGATAGGTATCTATTAAAAATAATCATTGTATCTCCAAGCCATGATAAATTCCATTATCATTCATTGGATCTTTTTGGAGGTATACTCTTATTTTTAGTTGTAAGCCTAGCCTTTAGCTGCTAAGCCATCTCTCCAGCCCTTGGATATACTCTTAAGTTACTGTGTATGATTTTTGTTGTTACCATTAGTATACAAAAGACCATGTATTTGACAAACTTTATGCCTTTCTTTCCAGTCCCTGTGTTCCCAAGAAAACTATATTCTTGACAAAAGGTAAGGAAATCTTTAATATCTATTCTGGTTGTTATCTAATGGAAGCTAATAACAATTTGCGTGTCTTATTAAAATGCCAACAGAATCCAAGATGAGGACACTAGTGGTACCCAGCAGAGGCGCCAGATATTTAGGTATTGGAATGTTTTCCAGTCAGTGCTAAAAAAAATTGCATATTTTTCTTTTTCCCCCTATTAGCTTTTCAATGTTTTATTTCTAAATTACAGAGTTAATAAAGATGCTTCAGGGAGATCAACCAATAGCCATCAGAGCAGCACTGAAAATGAGTTGAAATACTCAGAGCCACGACCCTGGAGCAGCACAGATTCAGACAGCTCCTTCCGGAACCTGAAACCTGCTGTAACCAAAGCCAGCAGCTTTAGTGGAATCTCGGTCCTGACAAGAGGTGATAGTTCTGGAAGCAGCAGAAGCATAGGCAGGCTTTCAAAAACAGGTATAAGTATCTACCTAGAACTGTACATTCAAAATGTTACTTTGGGTATAAGTATCTACCGAGAACTGAAGGAAAATAAATCTCTATTGTGAGAAAGTCATTTAGAGAGTGCAAAATTCAAGCTTCTGCCTTCTGGGTGCTGGGATTAAAGATGTATACCCCCATGCCTGGCCTAATTTAAAACATTTTAATAACTTGGGACCACTGAGGTTGCCCAGCCAGTCAGTATACTGTACAAATCTGATGGCCTGAGTTTAGATACCCTAGTAGAACTAGTTCTCGAAAGTTGTTTTCTGAGCTCCACATGTTACACACACGTGTGCGCTCACACACACACACAGATACGGAAAAACTAAAAATAACTTGTGCTGTCTTATTTTAAGAGACAATGTATTTTTTAATCCTTTAGTAGGTAAAAGTGATAGTGTGTCACCCCCCCCCACACACACACACACACACCCAGTAGTGCACACCTTCAATCCCAGCACTCTGGAGGACACCCAGTGCTACACAGAGAAACCCTGTCTCGTAAAACGAGAAAAAGCAAAGTGGTAAAGTTCACATGTCATTTTTATATGACATGTTCTTCAGAAGGCAGTCTGTATAGTGTATCATAATTATTCATTACATTCATTAGAACCTTCATCCCAGAGTCAGCTCCCTTAGTAACAACCTAACTAAACTCCAAGTACTGTCTGAATCTGTATATTTCGTTGTCTCGTTGTCTACCTCAGTCATTGTGCTTCAAATGTCAGTAACAGTTTCAACCCTGTCCCTGTGAAATAGACTGTAGGCTTGAAAGAGCTAAAATTAAAGTTTTAAATAAAGTAAGAAATAAATTTTAAGGTGGTCCTAACATAAATACTTGGGATGCTTTTCATACTGTTTATGTCACTAGTTAAAAGAGAAAGGTGGTTGAGTTTTATTTTAGGAGGATGCTGATTTTCAAGATGAAATTGTATAGTAAAACAGCGTTGCTTCTTTCAGTAGATAATTTATTTATATTGTTTCCCATACCATTCTTAATCTTTCTGTGTTATTATAGCTAAGGGGTTCTGATACGTGAGGTTTGGGGCATTTGACTGTGCTAAATTCTTTTTCCTGGGGAAATTGTAATCTGTATATTCTTAAGTGTTAAAAGGCAAAATATATATAAAGCGTGTCCTTTTGAAAGTGTCAGTAGTACACTTTGTTGGCTGTCTGTGACTTGTGTTACTGTAAACTTGGTAAATTGCATAATTTGGCTATGACTTTTCTGACAATTTCTGTGATGCTACTTGTTGCACTGAACATTTAGGAGGATAAGCAAAAGGAACCACTAGTCAGTAAATCGTAATAGCTATTGCTGTTATGCTGTAAGTGCATGTTGTAGAATATGAATTGTACTATTAGGTTTTAAACCTGTACTTTCCTATTAGAAGTTGTTTTTGTTTTTTTTTTTTTTTAATTCTATGTTTTTCATTATTCTCCCTCTAGGATCTGAGTCTTCAGGTAGCGTAGGGTCCTCTACAGGCTCTCTTTCTCACACCCAGCAGCCTCTCCCAGGTTCAGCTCTTAGCCAACCTCATGGCGCACCTGTCATCTACCCAGCAGCCAGCACTCACAGTTCTCTTTCCTTTGATGGTGGCCTCAGTGGTCAAGGTGCATCTCCTAGCACTAGCTTCCTTTTGCTTCCCTTGGAAGCAACTGGCATACCACCTGGCAGTATTCTGATCAACCCACAGACAGGTGGGTATCCAGAGAGAGAGTTTATTTCAGTTGACATAGCAGGAAATATCTGTAAATTAGAGTACCTTTTAAAATGAATTATTTAAAAGTACATATGTTAGCTTTTTAATTTTGATAAATAAGTGTCATTGTCTTGACCACTTTAATAGAGATGTTTAGGCTGTAAAATGTTATTAGTTTTAATCATATTGAAATAATTCTTCCTATTTGACATCTATGTATAAACTAGATAAATAGCCTGACTATAATCAAACAATTCATGCCATTGAAATGAGTCAGTTATCTTTGAGAGAGCTTTATGTGATATAGCATTTTTATTCTGTAGCCAATAATATGTTCTTTATGAAGACATAAGTAAATAAAATATATAATGTTCTTGAAAATGTAATAATTGCTTTCTACATAAGAAATAAAGACATTTGTTTTTTTAAAAAGGTAGTTGTTATAATTTAATATTGACAATATATGTTTTTAGTCCTTGACATAAACTAATAATAATTAATTTTATTGGACTTTTACTTTAGACCATATCCAGTTTGATAGGGTATTGCTCCAGACCCTACTGAGCTCATTATAATCAAAATATTTTCTGAGGGCTGGAGAGGTGACTCAGTCATTTAAAAGCTCTGGCTTCTCTTTCTGAGGACCCAGGTTCAGTTTCTATCAACCACATATTCATACTTTAAATTCTTCATTGATGACCTTTTTAATGCCCCTTTAGGTAGCGAAAAACCCCATTTACAGCAGGGAAATTGAAGTATGTATATATAGATAAGGTTGTTATATAATGTTTTGCTATGCATAATCTATTGCTATTAAACTGATTTCATAATTACAAGTTTTAAGCTGTCAGTTATCTACATTTTCAACCTATTTTTTTAAGTTGAATATATGCAGTGTACACGACAACCTTGATTATTTCCCATCCCCTTGAAAATTTTTTGAATGGTTTCCTGATATCTTAGAATCGGGTGTTTTTCTTTTGAACCGAAATGCACACAAACCCTAATGACCATGGTAAGGCTAGCCAAGGGTGGGAGTGCTGGGTCTTTGGAATGTTGCTGACCTTTCTCCTTTGTTTATAGTAACTGAATACCTAGAGTAGAATGATATTCGAAACTCAAACTTTTTAGAAAATATTTCTTTCAAGATTGTTTTTATTTTATATGTTTTGTTGGAGTATATGTTTATGCACCATATGAGTGCCATGTCTGCAGAAACCAGAAGAGGGCATTAGATCCCCTGAACTAGAGTTACAGATGGTTGTGAGTTGCCATGTGGCTGATGGGAACCAAACTTGGGTCCTCAGCAAGGGCAGTCAATGCTTTTTAACTGCTAAGCCATCTCTCCAGTCCTTCAGAACCTATTTTGATTATCCAGTGAGCTCAGTGCGGTCTGAAACAACACCCTGTTCCCCCAACTAGTAACATTTGAATATTTATACTAAGGAAAAAAAAATAAAAGATTGTCAATAGCTTCATTTCAAATCAAGATACTTGCCAAGCTAAAAAAAAACTTTTGGCTTAAGGACCTGGGAGTTGAGGTTTGTGCATAAGGAATTTATGGATGTGTTTTATAAATCAGCAGTGACAGTTTTATTTTCAAACCCTGCTGTATATTGGCTTTTTTCTCTTTTTTCACCTTTTCAGGTCAGCCTTTCATAAATCCAGATGGAAGTCCAGTTGTGTACAATCCTCCTATGACTCAACAGCCAGTTCGAACCCAAGTGCCTGGTCCTCCACAGCCACCTCTGCCGCCCCCACCACCTCAACAGCCAGCAGCCAGTCACATTTTCTCACAGGTGCACAAATCCATGATTATGTAATGCTAAGTTCACCTGCCTTTGCACATGTAGGGCTAATGACTGAGATAGCCAAGTAAGTATCTCTTACAGCTTTAATATTATGCCCCATGACGTCACATCAGTAGGCACAGGAAGAAAATGGTAAAATTAAACACTTTCAACTAATAAATACTGATAATATATTAGAAAAGTTATCATGAGTCATTTTATCTCATGAGCTTAACTAGTAAGTAATTTATCCCTGTTTTACAGCAAGAAGTAGACAAGGCAGAATAACTACAGATTGCTCTTTGGCCTAGTGAGTAAAGTGCGCCATTAAGATTGAATAGATTCAGCAGAAGAAACTGCACTAGGTTGCTCAAGCCATGCAGAGTATTCTATTGCATAGGTGAAGTGGGGTGGGTGGGTATTCTGAGAGTCAGTTCCTTTTTTTTTTTTTTTTTTTATTATATGAATACACACTGTATGTGTGTGTGCACACGTGCATGTGCATGTTTGGCCATGTGTGTGTCTATGTTTGTTCCACAACATGCATTTACTTGATCAAAGAACAGTTGATTCTTCTATCAGAACTCAGGTTTTCAGGCTTGTCAGCAAATACTTTCGCCTCTTGGACCATCTCTTGTATTTGCTTTTATTGTCTTTACACTGCTATGTGTTTTACCAGGAGTTTTATAGGACTGACTGCCATTTTTACTTAATTTGATCGAAATAAGGTTAGTACAGCTTTTGAGATTTCAAAGATTTCCTTGTTTTAGGTTATTGTCTCAAATTATTATATCTTAGGAATAATTTTGCCTACCAATCCTCAGACTTGAGGTTATGATCAAGTGTAGAAATAGCTTTGTCCCATGTAGTTATAAGGATGTCCTGGATGAAGGAATAGAGAGTAGTTTGGAAACAGATTCATAAAAGAGCTGAATTTCAGGTGTTGAGGTAAAGATCCAACATTCTGATTGATTTAACTTGGACATTTTTTGAAAGTGTTGCTGTTAGATCCTCAAAGAAACAAAAAATCATTAACTAAATGATACCCAGTTTCTATCACATATTCTGAGATAAATGATTTGTATAATCTCACATAACCAAACGCACTAAATGTTGGAATTCCAAATATAGCCCCTTCTATTTCCTGAACATACATCATAAAACCAGCCACTACATGGATGTTATTTTGCAGCCACAGTTCAAGTAGGAAAAGGAAATACAAAGACTTTTCCTTGTCAGCGTTGTCAGTGTGGCATCAGGGTTTTACTTTCTCAACCACTCTTCTAATTTAGTTTGCTCTACCATGTAGCACTCTTGGATACATTCACTTAAACCATAGGTTCTCATCTCAGATTCCTTCTATTCCCCAGCAGATCTAAGTTTTTGTTCATCTGACACTTGAGTTGGTCAGACTGGCTGACTGAAGAAAGATCATGTCTTACTGTTTATTTGAGTTAGTGCATCAAGTGGCCAGTGGTAGGATTTAGGATCCATTACACCTTGTTACTGTGCTTTAGCTTCCTCCGCCAGTGATTCATAGTCCATTAGCAGTTCTACAGATCACTCGGCTTTTACTTCCTTCCTGCTGTTCTTCTACACCTCTCTTTTCTTTTATTGCCTCTAAGCTGATCTAAACCTTTTATACTTTTAGATTATTCTGTTAATTTTGTGGTTTAAAAAAAAAGTCTGTGATCACTGTAAATCTTAGATTTTACAAATGGTTTTCTTTGTTTATTCCCTGGACAGTTTTACTGTTACTTGCATTTTAAGATTATTTTTTTTGGGAACTTTTCCAGTGCAGGATTCATTTGTAAATACATATTTTAACCAAATGAGTTTTTAATCACATAAGAATTACCTGTGTTGTTCTTCTGCTTGCTTATCTGGCATAGTAAAAGTCACTTTATCTTACTGTGATTTATTTTTTCATTTATAAAGTAGATTACAGTAGATAATCACCTAGTTTCTTGTACCTTTGGAAAGCATTTTTTTTTCCTGAAACAGAAGAATATTTGGCTAAAGATTTCTGATATCTAATTTCTCATGTCCTACCATGAATTCTTTTAATTAAAATGCATTTAGCCACAAAGAAAGGTTTTATTTTTTTCCTTCATAAAAGATGTGTGTTTGTGTGTATATAGATATGTTTCATCCTGATGTGGTTATTAAGATTTATTTATCTTATGTGTATGTGTGTTTAAATTGCATGTGTGTGTGTGTGTGTGTGTGTGTGAGTGTGTGTTACTTGCGGAGGTCAAAAGAGGGCATCAGATCCCCTAGAACTAGAGTAACATTATGAGCCAGCATGTGGGCCCTGGGGACATGTTCTGAACCACTGAGACAGCCCTCCAGTCCCTGAGGTATTATTCTGAGCAGGTTTTCTCACAAAACACTTAAATTTTAGGAACATTGTCTCTGAGAATTTAAACATGTTTTATCAAATAGAAGAGTTGTTACAAATACTATGTAAATTTATCAGGTTTTTGTTTATAATTTAGTAGTATAGAGCAGCATAAACATAGAACAGCCCCTTCATAAAAAAATCAAGAAATAATAGTTTTGTTTTTATTGTCATAACTCTGATAATAAGATTTGAAATGGCTGATTACCAGTTTCTATTAATCTGCACATAGTTACATTTATGACATAAAAGTCATTATTCTCATTATGACATCAACTTGAGCCTAGGTATGTTCTTGCTGTGTAGATTTCTTCTTTGGATACTGTTTTTCTTGTTGATTCTCTTGTATTTTTTAATGACTTTATAAGTGTTAAAGCTGTTGCCCCAAAGTGCACATTTCCATGCTATGCAATTCTTGTAACATTTTCTTCTGACATTAACTGTTTGCCCACCTGTTATTCCTAGCCTGTTGGTCCTCTGCAGTCCTCTTCTCAGCCTGCTCAGTGCTCTCCAGCCCCCTACCCATCCCCGCTCCTGCCAGTCTCACCCACCCAGCAGTACTCCGTGGTACTGTATCTCTTTTCACCTCATTGTTACAGTGTGTAATGAATGCTTCAGATTGTGGTCAGTGTGATATGCTCTTTTTTTTTTTTATTACAGGCAGGTGCATAAGTAAACAAAGGTGTTTTCTAAACCATATTAATAATAACATTCCTTTTAATAAGACAGTGAGTATATCAGCTATCATGGTGCCTGTTTAAAGGTTAATAGTCCTGATTTTTCTAAAAGATAACTTTCAAGATGAGTGTTGGGAAATAAAAATATTCTTAGATATTTTAGTTCCATTTCTTTACTAATGCCAGTTTTGAATCTATGTAGTCCTGGAATGGCACTGTCATGGGGTTTCTGTTGCTCTAATGAAATCATCATGGCTAAGAGCAACTTGGTGAGGAAAGGGTTTAATTCATTTTACAACTCTCAGGTCACACTATCTCTGTGGGAAGTTGGAGCGTGAACTCAAGGCATGAACCTATAGGCCAGACCTGAAGCAGAGGCCATGAAGGGGTGCTACTCACTGGCTTGCTCCTCATAGCTTGCTCATCCTGATCTGTTATACAACCCAAGACCACCTGCCCAGTGGTGGCACCACCCACAATGGGGTGGGCTTTCTAACATCTATCACCACAGACTTGCCTCCCAGTCAGTCTTCCCAAATGACTCTGTATATGTTGAGTTGATAGAAAGCTAGCCAGGACAGGCAGCTTTCCTCTTGTTCATATTAAGTATTCTTTGCCCAGTGCTGGTCAGAACCAGTTAATTTAGATGAATTGTAGCCTGTACTACAGAGGACTTTGTCTGATTTTATTATCACTTGACAATTTCTGACTCTAAAATTATACCCTTAATCCAAAGTGTGTGCTGAATTCTAACCGTAAGCCTCTGTAATAGCTCAGGCTGTCACCCTGAAACATTGTGTCTTTTTTCATAACTCCATACTTGAAGTAGCTTTTACATTTAAACAAAATTACTTTCTTTAAAGTGAACTTCCTGAAGGCTTGCTTGCTTTTACTAGGGATAGTCTATGTTGCTGCCATTGACCATTCCATATTGAAACTGCTTCAAATCGGATTATAAACTATAGCTGAAAAACCATTCTCAGTGCTTTTTGGAAATTGCTCTGTGGAAGGTGCTTTCCTGTTGAACTGGGCAGCCTTATTTACCAGATTCATCTCTGAATGATTTTCTCAAATAACTTTCTGTCTACACAAAAGAAATAATACTTTTTGTGAGTGACTCTTGACAATAGTATGTATATACATTACCTCTTGTAAAAATATTTAGCCGTATTACTTTGTAATTTAGAACTATTAGGTATTTTAATGTTTAGAAACCATTTTCATATGCTGTTGCTTCCTGAGAGTGAGCATTCCATTTTCCCTCTGTACTGTCATTTGAGGGACCAATAAGAACTAATACTTACGCTGTCAAGTTAGGAACTATGTATGTCATACAACCCATAAATTTTAAACCCTGCCTTGGCTGGATACCACTAGTTGCTCACCAATGATCTAGAAACAGGACACTTTGATTTATAGTATTCTGCTCTTTTAACTTACATGACAGGCTGAGAAACACTAAGAATAGAAGTTATTAAAGAAAAGGAATGACTGGTTGGAGATAAGAAAGGCATAGAACCTGAACCCTGCTTTTTAGAAAGAGTTATTTAAAAGTAACTCCTTTCAGATTATATTGATTATATAATATAAAAGTGTCCAGTTTTACTTCTGAACCCAAGTCAGCATTTGAAGTTCATTAAATACATGTAGTTTTTTTTTTTTTTTAGCTGAAGATGCATCCTAATCTTTTCGTCATTCTATGATTTCCATTAGGTATATATTCTAAATAATATGTAATGATAGCATTATTGCATACCTTCCTCCTCCTACATTGGAATTCTCATTTTCTTGAACCTGTTCTCTCATATCTTACCTATTTTACATACGTATGATGTCCATACATACACTGCTACAGCTTGCTTAGTAATGTGTAAAGTATAGGGCCTGGGGGATATAGCTTAGTTTGGTGAAGTACTTGCCTTGGACAGAGTCTTGGGTTCGATCATAAGTACACCACAAATCAGACATTGTGGTTTACACCTGTAATCCCATCACTCAAGAAGTGGAGACAGGAGGACCAGAAATTGAAGTCATCTTCAGCTACATGAGTTTGAGGCGAGTCTAGGCTACATGAGATACTCAAATGAAATAATGTGTGTGTGTGTGTGTAGCACTTTTCATTGGTAAATGTGATCCATGAATGAAAGACTACTGATGGCCAACTTCTTTTCAACAGGATAACCTTGGCTCTCAGTTCAGCCAAATGAGTCTTGCCCGCCAGCCATCAGCTGATGGTTCCGACCCGCATGCCACCATGTTCCAGTCTACTGTCGTTCTTCAGTCTCCACAACAGTCTGGTTACATTGTTACGACAGCACCCCCACATCCTCCCCCACCTCCTCCACCACCTCCCCCTCCTTCCCTGCCTCCTGGGCAGTCAGTCCCCACTGCCAGTTTCTCTGCCTCTGGACATCCTGTCAGTCAGCCTGTGCTCCAGCAGCAGGGGTATGTTCCTCAGCCCTCACCACAGGTGCGTTGCTTTTGCGTGTTTGTTCTCTCTCTCTCTCTCTCTTTCTGGATCCTCTAACTTGGGAACAATTTATGAGATAGTATAAGTAAAGCCCTTGTTACCTCTGTAGATTGTCAAGTACCGGGGGAACAGCCACATGACGGGTAACTATGATTTAGTTAGGTGACTTAAAGTATGTGTCCTTGCCGGGTGGTGGTGGCACACATCTTTAATCCCAACACTGAGCAGGCAGAGGCAGGTGGATCTCTGTGAGTTTGAGACCAGCCTGGTGTACAAGAGCTAGTTCCAGGCCAGGCTCGAAAATACATACATACATACATACGTACGTATGTACGTACGTACATACATACATACATGCATGCATAAATATGAAAAGGTATGTGTTCTTTGAATTTCCCTCTGACTCTGGTAAGTTTTGTTTTGTTTAATTATCTTAGGAAAGTGTGTGTTATTTAGGGTTACTATTGTGGTAAAGCGTGACCAAAAGCAAGTTGGGCAGGAATGAGTTTATTTATTCCACATCACAAATTCATAATTGAAAGAAGTCAGAGCAGGAATTTAAATCAAGGTAAGAACCTTGAGGCAAGAGCTGATGCAGAGGTCATGGAGGGATGCAGTTAACTGGCTTGTTCATCATGGCCTGCTCAGCCTACTTTCATACAGAAGCTAGGATTCTTTGCCCAGGGCACCACCTATAATGTGCTGGACCCTTTTTCCATTGATTACTAATTAAGAAAAGGCCCTTCAGCTGGATGTTATAGCAGCATTTTTCTCAATTGAGGTTTTCCTCTTTTCAGATGACTCCAGCCTGTGTCAAGTTGGCATAGAACTAGCCAGCACAGTGTAAAAGGACTGGAAAGTATATATGACAGCATTTCAAGAATACACCAGGTTGAATAGAAGTAGCATCATAGTATCAACTTTTCAGTTCAGGAAAAAATTCTTGTCACTTCTATCTTAATTTTTCTCAGTATGTTTTGCAGTTCTTTTTGCGGTGGGATGGCAGCAGTGAATTGGAGATAGGGTTTCTCTGTGTAGCACTGGCTATCCTGGACTTTTCTCTGTAGACCAGGCTGGCCTCGAACTCAAGAGGTCTGCCTGTCTCTGCCTCCCAAGTGCTTGGAGTAAAAGTGTGCACCACTATGCCTAGCTATTTTGCCCTTTTCCTTAGATAGATATTCCACATTTTATTAAGAATACTTGAAACAGCCGGGCAGTGGTGGTGCACGCCTTTAATCCCAGTACTCGGGAGGCAGAGACAGGCGGATCTCTGTGGGTTCGAGACCAGCCTGGTCTACAAGAGCTAGTGCCAAGACAGGAACCAAAAGCTACGGAGAAACCTTGTCTCGAAATCAAAAAAAAAAAAAAAAAAAAAGAATACTTGAAACATTTAATGTTTTAGTTGCTTCTATAAATGGGGCTTTTTAAATACATTTTTTTATTGATATTTATTGAGCTCGACATTTTTCTCTGCTCCCCTCCCGGCTTCTCCCCTCCTCCCTTCATTCCTCCCCCAAGGTCCCCATGCTCCCAATTTACTCAGGAGATCTTGTCTTTTTCTACTTTCTAATACCCATGTAAATTAGATCTAAGTAAGTCTCTCTTAGTGTCCTCATTGTTGTCTAAGTTCTCTGGGATTGTGGTTTGTAGCCTGGCTTTCTTTGCTTTATGCTTAAAAACCACCTATGAGTGAGTACATGTGATAATTGTCTTTCTGTGTCTGGGTTACCTCACTCAATGATGTTTTCTAGCTCCATCCATTTTCCTGCAAAATTGAAGCTGTCGTTATTTTTTTCTGCTGTGTAGTACTCCATTGTGTAAATGTACGACATTTTTCTTACCCATTCTTCGATCGAGGGGCGTTTAGGTTGTTTCCAGGTTCTGGCTATGACAAACAAACCTGCTATGAACGTGGTTGAGCACAAGTTCTTGTGGCACGATTGAGCATCCTTTGGATATATACCCAAAAATGGTATTACTGGGTCTTGAGAAAAGTTGTTTCCTAATTTTCTGAGAAAGCTCCATACTGACATCCAAAGGGGTTGTACTAGCTTGCATTTCTACCAGCAATGCAGAAATGTTCCCTTTTCCCCACAATCTCTCCAGCATAAGTTGTCATCAGTGTTTTTGATCTTGGCCATTCTTACAGCTGTAAGATGGAATCTCAGAGTTGTTTTGATTTGCATTTCTTTGATGAGTAAGGATGTTGAGCATTTCCTCAAGTGTCTTTCAGCCATTTTAGATTCCTCTGTTGAGAATTCTCAGTTTAGGTCTGTACTCTATTTTATTTAATTGGATTATGTGATCTTTTGGTGTCCAATTTCTTGAATTCTTTGTATATTTTGGAGATCAGACCTGTCTGATGTGGGGTTAGTGGAGATCTTTTCCCATTCTATAGGTTGTCATTTTTTGTCTTGTTGACTGTGTCCTTTGCTTTACAGAAGCTTTTCAGTTTTAGAAGGTTCCATTTATTGATTGTTTCTCTCAGTGTCTGTGCTGCTGGGGTTATATTTAGGAAGTGGTTCTCTGTGCTAATGCGTTCATGTGTACTTCCCACTATCTCTTCTATAAGGTTCCGTGTGGCTGGCTTTATGTTGAGGTCTTTGATCCATTTAGACTTGAGTTTTGTGCATGGTGATAGATATGGGTCTATTTTCATTCTTCTGCATGTTGATATCCAGTTATGCCAGCACCACTTGTTAAATATGCTTTTTTTCATTTATTTATTTATTCATTATGTATACAATATTCTGTCTGTGTGTATGCCTACACAGACCCCATTACAGATGGTTGTGAGCCACCATGTTGTTGCTGGGGATTGAACTCAGGACTTTTGGAAGAGCAGGCAATGCTCTTAACCTCTGAGCCATCTCTCCAGCCCAATATGCTTTTTTTTACCCATTTGATATTTTTCTACTTCTTTGTCAAAAATCATGTGTTTGAAGATGTGTGGATCGATATCCCAGTCTTCTGTTCTGTTCCATTGTCCTCCTGTCTGTTCCTATGCCAATAAGATACCAGGCTGTTTTCAGTACTGTAGCTCTGTAGTAGAATTTGAAGTCAGGGATTGTGATGCCACCAGAAGTTCTTTTATTGTACAGGATTGTTTTGGTTATCCTTGATTTTTTGCTTTTCCATATGAAGTTGAATACCGTTCTTTCAAGGTCTTTGAAGAATTTTGCTGGGATTTTGATGGGCATTGAATAATGGGACTGTTTTTAAATTTTACTTTTTTATCTGTTCACGATAAAAAGAATTTGAGCATATTGATCTTATATCCTGTGGATTTTCTCCCTCTCCTGTTGTTTAGCTTTTTTGTCTGAATTGAAGCATTCCCTCTTGATGGGAGGAAGGAAGTTTATATACTGAGGAAACTTACCAAGCTTCTAAAACTAAGAAGACTTACAAAGGCCTCCCTGATGTTATAGTAATGTGCTGAGGGAGGAGCCTGTGGTCCTTCCCAGGGAGTTCCAGTGATACGGTTTTCATGAATTGTCACCCTTGCTTCAGTGGAATTTTCAGTGGTACAAAATCACTTCTAGTCTTCCAGTAAACTCCTTGGTCTGGTAGGCAACCAAGGACAGCAGCAGTTCTCAGTTTTTCAGCAAAGCAAACTTTGTTTTATAAAGAGAAGTGTGAAACTAATACAGCTATAAAATTAACATCTAAATGGGATTGGTGGGCACAGCGGTAAATGTACTTTGTTCTGTTTTGTTTGATTTTGGGGGTTGGTTTGGTTAGGTTTGGTTTTTGGAGACAGGGTCTCTGCATAGCTCTGGCAGGCCTGGAAATCACTATGTAGACCAGGCTGGCCTCAAACTCACAAAGAACCATCTGCCTTTCTTTACAGATGCTAGAATTAAAGGTGTTTTCCACCATGCCTAGAGGAGGATATCTTTTTAAAGATATCTTATATCTGGACTTTATACTTTTAAATTTAGTTAAATATAGTAGATTTTACAATTCAGTTGGTTTGCAAAGGGTTGGTACTAAAATTATTGCTCATTGCATTCTTGTGTGCCTCATGGAAAAATTAAGTAAAACTAATTTATGTCCTCAATGCTTATGATTGTAGATGCCAGCCTGTTACTGTGCTCCAGGCCACTATCACTCCAGCCAGCCCCAGTACCGCCCTGTCCCTTCTGTCCATTACAGTTCACATCTAAACCAGCCACTGCCACAGCCTGCACAGCAGACAGGTGAGTTATGTTCTGATGCCAGGATTTTTAGCTATGGACATTACTATTTCCAAATTTATTTCAGTCTTTACAGTAAGATATTATCATGCTCAGTCTTTGAAGATATCAGATATATGTGTGAGTGTGTAAGCCAGTTACATTTAAAGAAGTGGAAAATCGTACATTCTTCAGAAATTCTACACAGATTTGTTTGATAAAGGGTTGAATAGGAAGGTTCTGCATGGCCAACAGTCTTGGAAGTAGCTGTTGGAACCCCGCTGCCACGGTAGTAGGAGCCCTCTTTGCATCCTATTCCCCAAATAGAAATGGCTGGGAGACCTTATGCAACTAATCAGAATCAAAGCCTGCTAAATTTGATTCATTTGAATTTTAGCTAAAGGATGACACTTTAATGTAAAAGATACTTGTTTGATGATCTGTATTCTTACACATACTTCTGTCTCATTTTCAGTTTGATAATTATTTGGTGAAAAAGAAACAAGTAGAATCTAATACTAGACGTAACTTTAAAAATTTTATTTCCTTTTTGCCATTTTCTTCAAGAATTTATTGACTTGAACCCCAATCTCATTTTTAAATGAGTAATAACTTAGCATATAGAATGAGTGCTTTGCAAACTTGGGCACTTGCGGTTGGTCCCCATCACATAGCAACAGGCAGAGTCTAATACTTGTAATAGAGCACTGAGACAAATGGGTTCCCAGAACTTGATTCCCAGCCAGCCTGGCCTAATTGATGTATTCAGAATAGTGAAAACAGAGTAGACAACTCTTGAGGAACCATACTCAAAGACAAACTCTGGTTTGTACACATATGTGCACTCATAAATGCAATTCCACAGACATATAGAAAACTGTCTTACTGACTCTGTTTCCATCTTGTTACAAATATTTAATAAGGTGGTTAGCTAAAGCCTTGTTTTGCATAAATTGGATAATTGAATTTAGATTTTATTACCGATTTTTATAGAGCATTTTGAGCTATTTGTTATTGTTGGAGGTACGGGTTTTGTGCAGAGACATTTGAACTCTACCTCCATGAGGGAGTCTGCTGCCTCAGTACTCTCTGCGAACTCTTGAGAACTACTTCTGGGCTGGCCCTCCAGTAAAAGTACTCTTCCTTCTTGTGCTTGTGCGGTCATCCACTTCCGCTGTCAGACAAGAGTTATCGTTACCACAACTCTGCAGCCAAACTTTCATGTCCTTAACCTGTTAGACCTGGAAGCTTTCTTGTTCTTAGTATGCAGGCTCTTTTCTTCTTTGTATGGAGTAGCCCCTACATTGTGTGTACAACAGATGTGTTTTTCTAATGGATTTTGGCCATCATCTAACCATTTTAGCTAAGCTATAATTTGTTTGGTTTTAAATTTGACTCCTTTCAATATCAGATTTCCCTGAAGCCTAGTAATATAACTCATGTCAAAAATATAAACAGTATATAATCTTAGTTCAAAAGACATCAAAAGTTGTTCCTTGCTAGCTCAGCAGATAAAGGTGCTTTCTGTGCAAGCCTGACGTTCTGAATTTGATGCCCATAACTTTTATAATGGTAGAGGGGAAAGAACAAATTCCACAAAGTTGTCTCTGACTTCCACACATGTGTTGTGACACGTAACATCCCTCCCTCTCTTTACACATATGCACACATCTTAACAGTAATAAATTACAACTTCTTAAAAATGTTTTTACAATGGTTCATCCTGATGCCAGATGTGGTGGTACACGCCTTTAATCCCAGTGCTCAGAAGATAGGGGCAGGTGGATCTCTGAATTCGAGGCCAACCTAGTCTACAGAGAGAGTTCCAAGACATCCAGAGCTGTTACACAGAAAAACCCTATCTCAGAAAACAAACAAAAAATTGTGCATCATTAGGAACATTGATCATAACATTGCTCATTTAAAGTCACATATTGTTTTCTAATAAAAATGGTATTCTGGCTGGAACCAGTGACATATGCTTCTAATCTCAGCACTCTGTAGGCTAAGATTAGGACAGTCACAGGGTTATATGGTACACTTGGGCTACAAAGCAGCCCCCTGTGTCAAAAATTAAAGCAAAAATAATAGTAAAGAAAGCATTTTTATGTGATTTCTAGGCTTGAAAATAATTGACTTATATTATTAAATCTGGTTTTTTAACCTTTCAAAATTATAACTTGTGGTTTGATTTTAGTTATATTTTTTTTTTCCTCCTGTGGTTCTGGAAATGTTACTCAGGGTTTTGTCTATGCTAGGCAGACATTTTCTGCCTAGTGGCATCCCTAACTGTGATGGCTCAATAATTTTATAAAAAGTAAATTGAGTTTTGGAGAGATGACTTAGAGGTCAAGAGCACTTGCTGCTCTTTCAATTCTCAGCACCCACACAAAGGCTTAAAATCATCTGTTAACTCCAGATCCAAGGAATCCATCCAGTGCTCTCTTCTGACCTCTGCAGGCACCAAGCATGTGTGTGGTACACATACATGCAGACACACACTTAGACACATCAAATAATAAAATAATCCAAAAATTGTTTAATAGAAAAAAGTAAATTGACCTCCATGCTATTCGTTAAAGTCCCTTTATGTGACTTTCTGTTTTAACAAACCCTGGTAATAAAGCAGCAAAGATCATCTGCTATGTATTTATGAAAGCTTTTTTTTTTTTTTTTTTTGGTAAAATTTATTTCTTCCCATAATCAGACTATCTACAAAGTAAGGCCTTAACCATGAGTTGGGACTGAGATGCTAGTTCAGTTCCACCTCTGCCCACAGATATTCCCACTTAATGGGAAATAATTAAAAAGGCCAAATAGGCATAATATCTATGTAGTAGGAAGGTATTTATCACTTGTGAGAGTTTGTGGGTTTTCTGCTGTTGGTCACGATGAGACAGAACAGAACAGTAAACCAGACTGCATCCAGACAACACAGGTGCAAAAGAGGACAGCTGTTTCTGTCACTTACTGACACCTAGGTGTCAGCCAGTAAATCATTGTGATGAAAGCCCACTCTTCCCCATAGTCTCTGCGTTATCCTAGTAATGTACAGCTTGATTCAGTTATGCCTCATTCTGTTTAAAGAATAAAAGGGAAATCCTTAAACATTGTTTTCTGAAATGACAGATGATTTTTTGTGCCTATAAGTGTAATAGAAAATAGAAAAGTTCCCTTTAAGGAAATGTTCAACCACCAGAATCAGTGATATATTGGTAATTATATTAGCTTCTTCATAGAATTGGTAGGAATTTGAATTTGAACTCTTTTTAACAAAGTTGGAATTTGGGGGGGGGGGTTGTTTTTTAAGACAGAGTTTCACTGTGTAGCCTTGGCTGTCCTGGATCTCCCTCTGTAGACCAGACTGGGTTTGAACTCTTTGCATTCTTAAAACTCAGTTCCCTAGATTTTTTTTATACCTTAGCTTTGTATCTGAATCCTAATATAATAACAAAGAACTAGCCGAGTAGTAGAGGCAGGTGGATCTCTGTGAGCTAGTTCCACAATAGCTACAGCTGTTAAACATAGAAATCCTGTCTCAAGGGGAATAAAAAAATAGAATTAGGCAATTTCTGTTTCTATTTTTTTGTTTTGTTTATTGATTTCTGCCCCAGTTTTCATTGTAAACATAGTTTCTGCTTTTTTCTTTTAATATGTTTTATTTCCTTATTTTTTACCATCACAATTGATTAAATATAAACTTTACTAGTTTTTTTGGTTCTTGTCAACCATGCTTAAGTATTCAAAAAGAACTCACAAAGATTGTTACTATTTTTTTGATTTCAAAAGAGAATGGACTAATCATTGAGACAAATAATGAAAAATTGCAGCAGATTATCTTTGGCCTGGCACCATTAATACTTGAATGCTTTTATATGAATTTAAAGAACATTTCCCCTAAATTAACAAAGTCAACTGAGTTGAGTTAGGCGGTGGTGGTGCACACCTTTAAACCCAGCACTCTGGAGGCAGAGGCAGGTGGATCTCCATGAATTCAAGGCTAGCCTGGTCTACAGAACGAGTTCCAGGACAACCAGGGCTGTTACACAGAGAAACCCTGTCTCGGGGTTGGGGGAGAGTATTCTTCTGAAACCACATAGACAATGGAAATACTAGGTTTACTGTTATTTTTCTCTAAATGGAAATACTAGGTTTACTGTTATTTTTCTCTTTGTGGAATAAACATCGGGAAATTCTTTTTAGAATTTCTAAAATTCTAAAGTTCTAGCCTTGTCTGTGCCAATATATTGATCCCTTTGAGAAATTCCATCTACTGTGGGACCCCAACTATAGCAATATTAGCATAGAGGAGTGTATGGTCTTGTTTTCTGTTGTGAGTGTGAAATTACTGACTGTGGTCATTCAAAATAAGATCGAGTCAGCACATGTCGACAGACGCTCTTAATTTTTTTCTTACGGAGGCTGTACTGGAACTTAATCTGTAGACCAGGCTGTCCTTGAGCTCACAGAGATCTGCCTGCCTCTGCCTTCCAAGTGCTGGCATTAAAGACATGCACCACCACCACTCAGCAGTTAACAGACTAGTTTTGTTTGTTTTTTGGTTTGTTTGTTTTACATGTATGGGTGCTTTGCCTTTATGTGTGTCTGTGAATTACATTCATGCAGTACCCAAAGAGGCCAATAGAGTTCCCTAGGACTGGAGTTACAGACAGTTGTGAACCATCTTCAGTGAGTGGATGCTGGGAATAGAACCTACGCCCCCTACAAGAGCAGCCATCTCTTAACTAAGTCATCTCTCCAGCCCCCACAGTCGCTTTTAACTAGTAGCAGTTATATTAGTGATAAAGCCTGGGGCTTTTGGTTTGCTCCCTTATAAAATTAGGGTTTGTTATTTATTGTCTAGGCTCTGTGGACTCAAAAATTGGAGGATTTTGTGTCTCTTTTTAGTCATTTCTTGTTTAAAAGGTGAACATTAACTGGACAATAGTGACACACTTTTAATCCCAGCACTTGGGCGGGTGAGGGGTGGTGCAGAGGCAGGCAGATCTCTGTAATTTTGAGGC